CTAGAACCCAAATCGCTAAAATTACGTATTCCCAGATTCTTAATTCCCAAAAATTCAAAAGTCCCTAAATCCCTAAATCTCTAGAATGTCATATCCCTATACTTATTCTCAAAATTCAAAAATCCCTAGAACCTAAATCGCTAAAATTACGTATTCCCAGATTCTTAATTCCCAAAAATTCAAAAGTCCCTAGATCCTTAAATCTCTAGAATGTCATATCCCTAGACTATTTATTCTCGAAATTCAAAAATCCCTAGAACCCAAATCGCTAAAATTACGTATTCCCAGATTCTTAATTCCCAAAAATTCAAAAGTTCCTAGATCCCTAAATCTCTAGAATGTCATATCCCTAGACTACTTATTCTCGAAATCCGAAAATCCCTAGAACCCAAATCTCTAAAATTCCGAATTCCTAGATTCCTAATTCTCTAAATCCAAAAATCCCCAGATTTATAAATCTCTGGAATGCCACATCCCTAAACTACTTATTCTTGAAATCCAAAATTCGCTAGAACCCAAATCTCTAAAGTTCTGTATTCCGAGATTTCTAATTCTCAATATTCAACAATCCCTAGATTCCAAAATATCTAGAATCCCATGTCCCTACTCACAATACCCTTGAGTTAAAATTAAAAAATTAAAGAAGTATTAATCAAAATATTTAAATATCGACGACTACGAATTAGAATACCCCTTTTAAATCATTTCGTCCTCCACAATTATCGTGGATCTTTGTTATAAATAAAACAAATGTTGCTCAGAGGATTCGGAGGTGTAGAAATGTCAGAGGGTGTGTTTGACGAAGATGGAGAACGCTGGAAGTTCGGACTAGAGGTGTGACTATCGATATCGTAATTAATGATTCAAGTTGATGATGTTGTTGAGATATTGGTACACTGGATGCAGACACAAGTGGTTGAAGTAGAGTGAAGTGTGTGATAAGCGGTAAATTTATTATGCAGTAGGCATCTTAATTTTGAGATGCACTTAGGGTGCAACGTGAGATTCACTTGAATCTTGAGATTTACTTTAGTATTACTATTTACAAATTTACAGATTTACAAATTTACAGATTAACAAATTTACAGATTTACAAATTTACAGATTTACAAATTTATATTCTACAAATTTGCAGATTTATAAATTGAGATTGCACATATTTACGGATTTACCAATTTAAATTGTACAAATTAATAAATTTACAAATTTAGATTCCAAAAATTTACTGATTTACAAATTCAAATTCTATAAATTTATTGATTTACAAATTTAGTTTCTTCAAATTTACAGATTTACAAGGTTAGATTTTACAAATTTGAGATTTACAAATTTACAGATTTACAAATTTACAGATTTACAAATTTATATTCTACAAATTTGCAGATTTATAAATTGAGATTGCACATATTTACGGATTTACCAATTTAAATTGTACAAATTAATAAATTTACAAATTTAGATTCCAAAAATTTACTGATTTACAAATTCAAATTCTATAAATTTATTGATTTACAAATTTAGTTTCTTCAAATTTACAGATTTACAAGGTTAGATTTTACAAATTTGCAGATTTAAAAATTTAAATTATACAAATTTACAGATTTACAAATTTAGATTTTTCAAATTTACAGATTTACAAATTTAGATTTTTCAAATTCACAGATTTACCAATTTAAATCATACAAATTTACATATTAGCAAATTTAAATTCCACAAATTGATTACAAATTACAAGTCCACAAGTCTATCTCCACCTCACAAATCACAAATTTCAGTTCCAATTACAAATGACGAACACAAACCGCAAGTAGCATCAGCCTTCACCCTGCTTCAGTGTATACTCCACACCAACAACATCATCAAACCTCCCCATCGAATTACCGATAACTAGTCACATCCATAGCTCTCTACCCCCATAAAGCCGCACTGATCAAATCTCCAAAATGCCGTCCATCCCATACGCCACGATGTCGAGCACCTCCGAAAGTTTCGAGGACCTGCTGACCTCCAACGAAGCCATAGACAGTTTCTCTCGGCCGCTGGAGTCCAGAAACCTGTCGAAAAGACCGCCATTGCCGCCCTTCGCGCGAAGACCAGCGAGCAGGGTTCTGGGTTCGAGTTCCACTCGAAGTCCTTCACCGTGCAGTCTTTCTTCGAGTTTGTCCCATCGTTCTCGATCCGTTTCGTTGGTGTCTTCGAGACCTCGCACCGGTCTGGATTCGCCCACGCTGTCCATAATCCCCCGAAGAATGTACCCCATGGTGGCCAGCTCGGAGAACATAGAGGACCTCTCCGCGAAGGAACAAGCGCCCGTCGTGTTCGACGCCAGTTTAAATTTCGTGATGGGCTGCGACAGACAGAGGGTCAGGCAGTCGTTCAGGCCAACGGCGTCGCACATGGAGCCGTCGACCGCCTCCTCGTACTTGTCCTCGAAGATCGCGCAGTTCTTGAAGAGGACCGATCACATCATGGACGAGTGGAGGAGTCTGGGGCATAAAGGAGACGCGGGGGATGAGATGGGATCGCAGAATGTGTCGAGACAGGACGGACGCGGTGTGGGCAGGAGTCAGAGTGCCACGAACATTATGATCAGGGGTTATCAATATTACAGCAGGGCCAGCAGCGTGGCGAAGAACTCCTCGTCGAGGAGGTCCATGTCGCACGCGTCGGAGGATAGGACCATCTCTGATAGCGTCGTGGGCCAAGACGAGGTAGAGGATTTTGGGGGATTTGGGGTTCAATAGGGGTAACTTGGATACGAGGATTTTTGGGGGGTCACTGGAGTTGGAGGACCAATGACTCATGTTTGGGGGTTTGAGAATTTGGAGATTTAGGGAGTTGACATTTTTGATATCTGTAATAGCATCGTAGACCAAAAGGTACAGGATTTGAGAGGTTTGGAGGATTCAGTATATTTGGGGGACCAGTGGGTTTTATTTATATTTTCGATGTAACTTGGATTGGAGGATTTTTGGGTGGTCACTGGAGTTGGAGAACCAATGACTCATGTTTGGGGGTTTGAGAATTTGGAGATTTAGGGAGTTGACATTTTTGATATCTCTAATAGCATCGTAGACCAAAAGGTACAGGATTTGGGAGTTTTGGAGGATTCAGTGTATTTGGGGGACCAGTGGGTTTTACTTATATTTTCGATGTAACTTGGATTGGAGGATTTTTGGGTGGTCACTGGAGTTGGAGAACCAATGGGTTTGGCTCATGTTTGGGGGTTTGAGAATTTGGAGATTTAGGGAGTTGACATTTTGCATAACTCTAATAGCATCGTAGACCAAAAGGTACAGGATTTGGGAGTTTTGGAGGACTACGTGTATTTGGGGAACCAGTGGGTTTTACTTATATTTTCGATGTAACTTGGATGCGAGGATTGGAGGATTTTCGGGGGGTCACTGAATTTGGGAAATCACTATATTTGTCTCATGTTAGCAACGTAATCTAGATTTAATGGATTTGAGGGTCTCCGGAGATGCAGTAAATTTGGGGGACCAGTGGGTTTATGCTCGCAGTGTAACTTGGATACGAAAGGTTGAAGGTTTTTGGAGCGTTCAGTGGATTTGGAGGATCAAGTTTGTTTTATGTTTGTGACATAATTTATATCCGAATATTTGGAGAATTAGGGAATTGGCAATTTAGTCATCTCTAATAGTATCATGGAGCAAGAGGATTTGAGGGTTCTGGGACGACCAGTTGGTTTGGTTTATATTCGTAATGTAATTTGAATGCGAGGATTTAGGGATTTAGAGAATTGGCAGTTTGAGTATTTTTGATAGCGTCGTGGGCCAAGACGAGGTAGAGGATTTGGAGGTTTTAGGGGCTTCAGTGGATCTGGGAAACCAGTAGATTTGGCTTAGGTTTGTGATATAATTTGGATGATGAGTTTGGAAGTTTAAGGACATAAAAATATTTTAGAAGTTTAAGAAATTTCAGATATTTAAGGTATGTCAGATATTTGGCAGCTCGAAAATTTAGATATTCATTCATTGGAAAATTTGGTATTGATAATCAAAGTTTGATAATCAAGAGACTTGATAATTTGCTAATACAAGCAAATTACATTTCAGAAATTTGGAATTCAACAATTTTTTATTAGAAAATTTGAACATTTGATTATTTAATAATTTGGTCATTTGAAAATTTGAAAAAAAAAATTCTTATTACTCCAATTATATAAAATAAATGACTTTGACATAATTTTAATTATTAACATAATAATGCTCCTTTTCATAAACAGTAACTATAAGCCACTGACGTAATTCTGCAGTCCTGATACAGTTACTACAAATCAGTCAAAACGAAATCCACTAGAGTTAAAATTAGTTTCAACTTGAAATCGAACTAATTCGTTCTGAAATAGATTTTTAGGGGTTCATCTAGAATAATTTTCTGGCTTTTTTACTCTCCATTAGCTGCTAGAACTTACATACTTACACCATAATTATTTAAAATTTTTTTAAATTATTCTTTAAGAAAAGAATAAATTATAAACATTTTTTTAATAGTGAATAAATGATGAATATATTTTAATTTCATAATATAAAATTGTATACATTTCTTTTTATTGCAAAGAAAATTTATTTAATGTCTTTTTAAAAATGAAAAAACTTATCTTTTTAATTTTGGAAGTGACTTAAATCCATTTATAACCACTAAAACACATTGACTCATTGGCTCATGTTGAACAAATTGAATAAAATTTCCTTTCAAAATAAATTGTTCATATTGAACCATCTTAATGAAATTTGCTTTGAAAATAAATTGTTCGTATTGGACAAACTTAATAAAAATTCCTTCCAAAATAAGTGAAAAACTTATATTGAACAAATTTAAAAAATATTCCTCTCCAAATAAATTGTTCACATTGAACAAACCTAATAAAATTTGCTTTTAAATTAAATATCTCATATGGAACATATTTAACAAAACTTGAACAAGTATAAATAATCGAGCAAATTTTCACTAAAATTTTCTTATAATTTTTCTTATAGTTAAGCGAAATGACCGCCGACTTCGCGGAGGAGCATTCGACATCGACGCTGGCAGCGGAGAGGATCGACGCCGAAACGTCGGAGCGTCTTCGGCTGGAGAGAGAACTTCAAGATGTGACAGAGGCTAACAAGAATCTTCAGCAAACGACCGAAAGACTGGAAATGGAGCTTTTGTATGCAAGAGCAGCGGATTTGAACGGCGTCGCATCCGACGCCGAGGACGGCGAGGATGGCGGTGTTTACAAACAGCGGTACGAACACGCCGTTAGAGAACTGGAGTTCACTAAGAGGAAAATGGCGCAACAACACGAGGATGACCTGGAACAATTGGTGGGACTTAAGAAACAATTGGAGAAGAAGGTATGTTACTTGGATGTATTTTGCGAAACTCACGTTTGTATTCTCTTGGCTCTGAACTTTCGCTTGTATCGTGTACTTCCGGCAGTGACCGAAGTTTGCCGAATGTAGAAGAGTAGCGAGAGTCGGAAACAACCGAACGTAAACAGAAAGTAATGTCACTGAAACAATCTTAATGCAAGAACTTTTTTATTTTGAATGTTTTTGTTATGACACTTCATACCGACGTATTTGTGATGTTTTCCTGATTAAAATGAGGCCCAACACGACGTAATTCGAGACATATTTACTTGTTTCAAGTGTTTTGTTTATAAGGATGCTGTATCCTAGTAAGATTCGCGGTAAACGGACGAGTAATGACACCTCGGGTAATTTCGTTTTTCTTCGGTGCTGTTCGGATCATCACGTGACATATTTGACAGTCGAAATCGTAATTCTTTGATTTCCATAATTTTACTCCTATAAATTATTAAAAGGAAATATGCTCTTAATTATGTGGTGTTTAGCCTCATTTTAACCAGGAAAATGTCACGTTGCATAAAAAAAGAACTGTAAATAAAAAAGTTAGCAACATATTAGCGTTGCAAACAATACAAGTTTTATCATTCACGATTGCCACAATCAGCGTTTCTTTTTCACTCGCTTTCATTTTCCGCGTTCGAAACTTATCGTCAGTTAGATAAGATTAAATAGACATAAATCCCATAGAAAATCTGCGGAATAAATTAAACCAAAGAATTAAAAAAACACTGATAAATTCAAAAATTGAATTACGAACAAGACTGAGAGACTGAAAGAAAACCGGCAATTTAACTCTTCATAACATTTGGAAAAAAATATTTTAATATGCATAAACGAATGCATGTTATTAAACAGAAAGAGTTTGGAAGAAAATTAAAATTGATTTACCTACATTACATATATAAATTCTGTATTTTTCATAAAATATCCAAAATTGTGATAGCCTGTTGTTGAAAATGTACACATAGAAATGTTATAGTTGAAAAGAAATTGCAAATACTTTCTATATACAATAACAAATACAGAAATATTACAGTCTGCGAATACTAATGCGAGTAACTGTACCAGTTCATTAAAGGAACGTTGAGAAGATTTTTCTTACTAGAAACAGATGATGATTGAAGTAATTAACATGATTGTATGATGGTATTAAGAAGATAATATAATTAAGTAATTATAAGTAATGTGAGATTATGTAATTACGGTACTAATTGCATAAGTATATAGATGATGTAATTCATCTTAAATGTTAACGACAGAATGAATTTTGATTAATATTAATAAGAAAATATTGGTAGAAATAATGTAACATCACAGAGAAGGTGTTATATGATTATACGTATAGTTGTCTTATTAAGATTCATAAGATAATACTAAGAAAATTAATTACTGAGAGTCGATATCAGGAAGTAATAAATATAATTATAAGAAATAGTTAATGGATATAATTTGGTTTCACTAGAAAGCAGTATGTTACTATATAACTGTCTTCTTAATATCAAAAAAGTAATATTAAAAATAATAAAAAGAAGTTAATTGAAACAGTTAATGAATATGATATAAATACATAAAACATACAGTATAATGTACATACAATATATTTTATTAAAGTACTTGTTATCTTTACCTTTCTAGTTACTTAAAAAATATCTGTTATCTTTTTAGTTAGCCGATGCGTACGAAGAGGTCGAAGAACAACGCCAGGTGGTTGGACAATGGAAACGTCGCGTACAAAAATTGAACGGTGAAATGCATGATCTTAGACTCCTCCTGGAAGAACAAACGGCCAGGAATAATCTTCTAGAAAAGAAGCAGCGCAAGTATGTGCTATTTGCACATTTATACACTTTCTTTTTTTATCCAGTATCCAACAACTTCACACATTTGCTGCGGCGACGACTGTGCTGGCTGTATTTTTAGTTTTGCGTAAACTGAACTAACGTAATCGAAGAAATTTGGCAAATGTTGAGTGCACGTGCTACGTACTGAATAAAATGTTTTGTTCTATTTCTTTGTTTAAGAGAAGTAAATATTTTCATTATTGAAATAAAATAATGTTTTACTCTTGATATCATTTTTCATTCACATATAGAAATGTAATCATTTAAAAATAGCTATTTTTTGCTAGCTTATTTTGGTAAATTATTTAATGTTCCTTTAGGTTTTTATATAATAAATCACTTTTCAAGTACAGCATTATTTCCAAAATGTATTAATGAAAATTTATTTTGATGTCTTTATCGAACACCAATGTTGTGATTGTAATGACTATAAATTTATTTTCTTACTCAAAAATGATTGACAGTGTATTAGTTATTATGCCAAAGAAAATATTGAAACTTTGAGATATTGTTATTGTGAAAGATTATTGCTAAAATTATAATTAACTATTTATAGTAAAATTTAGTTAGCTAATTATGATAAGAATTTAACTATTATTAACCATAACTACAGCAGATAACTTCTGCTTTATATTTGTATTAAAATGAAAATATTTTTTCATTAAAATGAAGTAGTTTGAATCTTATACTTATGATAATTTGCAGTGACATAATAACCTGACAAAATAGCAATAGTAATGCATTTTGATAATTGTTAAAAAGAAAGTTTACTATTGTTGAATTTTAAAAGTATGGAGAGTAGTTTCATTCGCATTTCAGTTGAGGCAACAAGTGTTTTTGGCTGTTTGCCAAACTGGTAATTTTGCGCGTCTGACAACATCTGCTACTGTTTCACTGACTGCACAAAACATGATTGACTACTTCAAAAATAGAGCTTCACATAGTCTCAGTCTAGATCTACTTCCTCGCAAAAAATATTAGTTCAGAAAAAAAATGAAAGATATAATATTTTTGAATATTACATTTAATTTAATTTAATCTGATTCTCATCCTTAAATTAAATTAAATTTAATTAAATTTAATTTTGATGTTTAATTAGATTTGACTCGGAAACGCAGAATTTAATGAACGATCTTCGACAAGAGAAAGCACAACGTGAAAGGCTTGCCAGAGAAAAAGAGATCGCAATTGCAGAAAAGTTTACTATAGAACAAAATCTGAGTGTAAGTATATTTTTACTTCTGGTTAATGATTAATTATAACTGTCTAATTAGTTGTTTATGGAAATTTGTTAGAACTAGTATTGGTTACCGCTCTAATTTTAGCTATTATAGTAGCTAATCGGCGTGAAATTAATGGTTTATTAAATCATTAAACGCCAAAGATTTCATTTTAATTCATCAAATAAAATTCTAAACTATGAAAAAAATTAATCAATACGCTTTATTAAAAATTAAATTCTAATTCTAAGAACTAATTAATGATTACAGTTCTTAACTGAAAAATTTAATTGATTAACTTTGTAAATTAAAATATCATGAAAATGATATTGCAAACATTGGATTTTAGAAATTTAACTCAGATAAATATTATATAATGCAAATTGATAAATATTGTCAATATAGTACTTGTAAAACGTTTAAATTTTACAAAATAACTTCTGCTCCTACAAAATTTATTTAACTGACTTCTATAAATTGCTTCAATCAATAACCAATTTTTAATCCATCTCATTTTTAACACAGGACGCCAGACTAGAAATTGAATTAAAAGAAGAAAGACTGCGAACATTAAGCCAAGAGTTGGAAGAGCTGACATTCGGTGGTAAAACAGAAGAAGAAGTGGCACAATTGAAGAAAGCCAAACACGAGCTAGAAAAGAGGGTAAAAGACCAAGAAGAGGAACTCGACGACCTTGCTGGTCAGGTGCAGCTTCTTGAACAAGCGAAATTGAGGCTGGAGATGAGCATCGAGCAACAACGAAAAGAAATGCGTAAAGAGTTACAACAAAGGGATGAGGAATTGGAAGATGTGCGTGGTAATTCATTGAAGAAGGTTAAAGCGCTGGAATCGCAACTGGAAAACGAACACGAAGAGAGAACGATACTTCTGAGAGAAAAACACGAATTGGAACGACGTTTAGTTGCCATAGAGGAACAGGACCGAGCTGAACGCGCTGTAGAAGCTGAAACTATGCTTAGGTTTGTTTACGAATGGAATTTTACTTATATTCGAAGTGCATTGTGATTAAAAATTTATGGATGTTTCTAAACTTTTGTCATATTTTGTGACTCTGAGACTTTGATATTCAAAAATTTAAAACTTTAGGGCTTTTACCTTTAAACTTTGAAATTTTAGCTTCAGAATTTCCACATTCCCAAATTGTTTAATTTCTAAATTCCTACATTTGAAAATTTTTATTGCAAAATGTAAAAATTTAAAAGCTTGAAATTTCTTACTGTTTTCACAATTTTTTGACGTACCTCCAATTTATCTGTTATCTTAAGGTTAAAGAGAGACTTAAAGAGGACCAAAGCACTACTCAGAGATGCTCAAACAATGTTAGAGAGATCTAAAGGCGACTCAACAGGCAAAGCAGCATTACGACAACTGAAGAATCAATTAGAGGATGCTGAATGTGCTAGAGCCGCTGCAGTTAAAGCGAAGCAAGCTTTGGAACAAGAATTAAATGAAACTCAGGCATCACTGGAAGAAGCTTTGCGACAGCGCTCTGAAGCTGAAGAACGTGCCAATGTAGCCAACCGCGAACGAACTGAACTGCTGTCGCAGTTGGAAGAAAATGAGGAAGAGCTTGCTGAAGTAAGTTTCAATTTAATCATTTAAATAAAGGATAGCTTTTAGGTAACCCCTTAGAGATGTAATAATTGCTTTAAGATTATCATTAAGATTACCAACTTAACATCTTAACATAACTTAATTTTCCACATAATTAAGCAATTGTTTCTGGTTCACAGGTGTTGAAGAAGTACCGTGCAGCAGTTCAACAAGTGTCAGCGGAGCAGGCTCAGTTACAAGAGGCACAAGTGCAAATTGCAGCACTGGAGGCAGAGAAATCTTCATTGAAAGATCAGCTTTCAGAATTGACCCAACGTCTTGAGTCCGTAGAACAACTTGGTGATCCTACTGCAAATAGTCTTGCCACAAGACGACTAGAGTTTCGTGCTAAGGAGCTTGAAAGCAAATTGGAATTGGAGCAAACGACTAGGGCACGCTTGGAGGTAAACTACTTTAAATTTCTTATTCTTTCTACGTTTTGATTCTAAATTGATGACATTCGTGAGTTACGTTACCTTTTAACTCTCAAATACATTGCATTGTCATTTAGCAACATACCATTTCTTAATCATACAACTTCTGTAAATGTACTGTTAGATAATGTAATAGTTTACATTTAATAGTGTTATTTAGCAACATATCATTTCTTAATCATACAACTTCTGTAAATGTACTATTACATAATGTAATAGTTTAAGTTAAAGTATAATTTAGCGTAGACACGTTACCAATATTATTTGTACATTACAGACGCAGATAGCAAGATTAAAAGAGAACGTTGAGAAACTGCAAACTGAATCAGCATTACTAAGAACGAAGGAGCAGACTGCACAAGATGCTGCAAGAAGATTACAAAGATCATTGCGCGAAGCAAGAGAAGAAGCTAGTTCAGCATTGGCACGTGAACAAGAATCCACAAGAGCTCGTCGCGAATTAGAAAAGTCACTTGAAGCTGCTGAAGCAGAGACCAAAGTCGCCAGGGATGACCTTAGGTTGGCACTTCAGCGAATCGACGATTTGCAAAGCGCCATTCAAGGAGAACTCGATTTGGATTGTAGCGAGGAAGGAACTACTGAAAATAGCGATAGGTATAGACTAATTGCTTTATAGTTTGACAATGTGGCATAGCAAATACGTTGGTGTAATTAGCTATATGTCCTAAGTTGAGATGTGGATATTTGATAAGTTGGGAATTTGTGATTTGAGGATTAAGAAATTAAGAAATTTTGGGATTTGAATATTTAATGAAATAGATATCTGGGAATCTTGAAAATTAAAAAATTTGAGAATACTGTGTCTTAGGCAGCCATAGTTCACATTAATATCCTTTTCTTTTTGCAGTGATTGATGCGAACAGTTGTCGGACCTCGAGTCCGACGAGAACAAAGACAAACCGACTGATCAACGCATCTCTGAGAATCTCCCTGAGGATCCATCGTTCACCGACGCCTCGATGGATAACTGTTGATCGAGCAAGTCGGAAGGAAGAAAACTTGCAAGAAGCGAAACAAGCAATAAGAGGGATATCAAAAACAAAAACAAAATCCATGTGCTAGTTCAAATCTGTTAGATTTAGTTTCTAATTGTAAACATCTTATCGTCGTCACTGCCGATTGAGAAACAGCAAATCAAAGAGACATAAAAATCAAACGGGCTAAATGCGATCAGTACAGATTTTTCATTGAAAACTAGACCAACAAAACGAAATCAATCGATTTGTACCAATCTTTACTATCTTTATATTCTTCTTCTACAATTTTACTCTTACGAAACGAAGACGAGATTTGTAACACTGTATAAATGTCCCTAGGAAAATTCGATGTCGTGGCTATTTATATTCTGCTTCTTAACGCGCGTTTTGGTGCTACTTTTGTCCGACAGTAGTTTTTCGTCGACGATGTCGTTGTTCCAGTCTTCCAAGGGAGATCTAATATTTTCGATGCTGTAGGCATCGAGGCGTGCATATTTTACGTGTGTACGGTTACCAAAACGGATCGCTTTTACAATGGCGTTTATAGATCACACTTGCTATGTACGTGGATATATCTAAAACAGGGAGCCTTAACTTCTTCATGAGCGAAAAGCATTTTACGCTTTTTTAACACTTCGCTACCTAGCCAACACTAGTTGGCTACACAGTTTGTATTATAAGACGCGGATACCGACTCAGTTCTTTGGTTTCTTATAAGGATTCACATGTAACTTATTGCTTTGTAAAATGCAGATATCTTATTTAATTAACTCGTTTGTGTACATGTTTCTTTCTCAACCTGATCCTGTCAACCTCTTCATAGAGTTTAGAATTTGTAAATGGTTTAATTAATCAACCTCTTCAGGGATTCTTTTTAAATCAGAAGAAACGATTTAATATTTATGTAGTTATTGTTTTAATTAATTGCAGTTAAATGATAATTATACTTATTTTAAATTAATTGAATAATAATTTATAGAATAATGACATACAAAAAATAACATGTATGTGGAGTAATGGTTAATGAATTAAAAAAGCTGTACACATATGTGTCAATGTCCTTGAAGAGATTGAAAGATATTGGTGACTTATGTAATAATTTAAAATCCTGAATTGTAATTTTATGATAACTAAACGAATGTGTATTTGTTGAGCAGACAATTGTACAATTTTGAAGAAGTTATTCTTGTTTTAAAGGATACAATTTAAAGAAAGTTATACTTGTTTCAACGGGTGTTCGAATACTTTTGTTACCAACTGTATATACGGCATTGCCATGAGGACAAATTTTTGGACAGGCCTGCTTTATAGAATATGAAAACGAACAAATGATATTGTTTCATGTAAAGAAAATAAAGATGATCTTAAAAATTATAAACTTGGTGTTATTAATACTACCTTGGAATGTTTTAATTAAAATATATAGTACATATATTTAAAAACTTAAGTAGTTAGAAATTTAGGAATTAAAAAACTTCAAAATGTGAGCACATGAAGATTTAAGAATATAAAAGAAATTCAGAAATAAAAAAATTTGCAAAGCTAGTAAATGTAGACTAAAACCTTTATATTATAAAAAGAAATGATTCGTTGAAAAGAGAAGGTTTTCCACAGTAAGTGAAATAGATTGAGTAACATGATTGAAGAAGATGAGTCTACTGCTACAGAATATTTTATTAACCAGTCGTCACACCAATTGTGTAAATTAATTTGCACTCTTGAGCATCTATTTACACAATTGAAACGCGTGTAGTATCATTCATTTATCTTGATTCATAGTATCATCAGTACTTAAGTAGAGTTGAACGTTATTCAAGTAAAATGAGATCATTCGTGAATAACGAATAAGTTTTCATTGACACAATCTTTCATTTTATTTTGATAAATTCTAGTACCAACAAAATGTACTATGAATTGATTATTGAAATCTTTTGATGTTTTTATCATTTATTAGTCTATTCATTAAATTTCATACCGCATAAAGCTTTGCCCATTTACATTTTTCTGAAAGTAAAAATTCATTGTTCAAATCTTAACCAGACTCAACTTAATTTTCATGTGTTCATATTAATACATTTATTAGAAAATCTTTACCTCTAAATATGTCTGTACATATTCATCAAAAAGAAAGTACATCATATTTACATTTGTTATGAACGAGATTAGTCGACTTGTGTTAATATTTTATTAGTAGTTATTGTATTACAACAGAACAGAAATGATTTTCTCTTGGCCGAATGATCACCTGGTAAAGAGGTCTTTACCGACAAAATAAAAAATAGATCAGTCGCCATCTAGCGGACAGGGTTCCGGAGCAACTCATGGTAGCAGGATCGCAGAAAAGTAAAGGAGGTATGCGGAGAAGAGGTTTCCCGCGTATTCGTGGGCATGCGCGGTAGAGTCAAACTGGAGCCGCTTTCTCAACATGGCGTCGGGTGAAATGAATGAAATTAACGACATAGAAACAATAATTAATATTCACTTTCTCGGCATAAATTATGCACTTTTATCATTTAAGAACGGTTTTTAACCTGCAATCTACTTCCTCTTGAACTATTTATTAAGATTTTAAACGAAAATAATTAGCTATCTATAACTCAAAGTAAGTGAAATTATGAATTGAAATAATGCACAATTATTAATTAATTACTCGCTTTCTGAATATAATATATAAACTTTTATGATTGAAAAATAATCTATGATTCATTACCTATTTCCTCGTATTGCAATTGTTAAGATTTGGGTTTAAATTAAAATTAAAATTCGATTAGTAATCAATGCTGCAAAATTGCACGTGGTAATAGGATCGCAGGAAAGGAAAGAGGTATGCGGAAAGACATATCTTCTGCGCATGCGCAGTAGAGCTACACTGAAGTCGCCTATTCCAACATGGCGTCCCATTAACGCGTTAATAAACGCGTAATTTTTTATTTCTGAGCAATATTTTACGCACATTTAAGCTCAAATAGTACTTTTTTGTTCTACCTGAATCATACGCAACAATGTTACGCGTTTAAATAATTATTAATATTTTTCATAAATGTATTTTATTTATTCGATGGTACGCCATTTTGGAAAAATCCCACCCCTAGGTTTGTTATGAATGCGCACATTACTACTGCGCAAGCGTAGTTCTAATGAAATATCGGTTATTTCTTTTACTTTCCTGCGATCCTAATACGACCAAGTGCAGTTTCAAAACAAAATCGATGAACAATCGAATTGCAACTTTATTCAGAACTAAAATCTTGCGAATATTACATAGGAAAATAGGTAACGAATCACAGATCATAATTTCATCATGAAAGTGCATAAATTGTAAATGTGTACATAGGTACCAAATAATTAATAACTCTCGGTTATTAATCTCATTTTCTCCGTGAGATGCCATATTGAAATAGGTGTCTCCCGCCTACCTCCACTGCGCATGCGCGAGAAACGTGGTTCTCCATATACCTCTTTACTTTCTTGCGATCCTAATACGACCAAGTGCAGTTTCAAGAAAAAGTCGATAGACAATCGAATTGCAACTTTATTTAGAACTAAAATCTTGCAAATGTTACATAGGAAAATAGGTAACGAATCACAGATCATAATTTCATCATGAAAGTGCATAAATTGTAAATGTGCACACAGGTGCCAAATAATAAATAATTCTTGGTTATTAATTTCATTTTCTCCGTGAGACGCCATATTGGAATAGGTGGCTCCTGTCTACCTGCACTCCGCATGCGCGGAAAACGTGGTTCTCCAATACCTCTTTACTTTCTTGTAATCCTATTGAATTTTCATTTTCATTTGCACTCAAATCTTTACAAACGTTGCATGGAAAATAGAAAATATCATTTTCCGATGTTAAAAGTGCACCAATGCACTATAGAAATGGGTATTAATTATTTCTCTTCGTCATTAATTTCTTTTACGTCTTACGGCGCCATATTGAAAATGTGCTTCAGTTTGGCTTACCGCGCATGCGCTTAAATGCACGGGAAACCTCTTCTTCGTCTACCTCCTTTTTTCTGCGCTCCTGCTACCAGGAGTAACTTCAGAACACAGTCCATTAGATGGCGCTGATTCGATTTTTAAAAATCGAGAATTTCGATTAGTCAAAGAACGAATGCACATAATAACCGAATGTTAGAATATTTTACTGACAGGTTAACCGGTATCTGCGAATTTGAAAGGCATCTAATGCAGGTATACAATTAACTCCTGCATTTTGATATTACGAATCAGGTTAAACAGGTATTGTTGCAGGTACCTGTGCAGGAACAGCGAATCATAAAAGTAGAGGAAGTGAATTATGTGCATTGAGCAAGCGCGTTATGTTCAAAAATAGACATTATGTTCATGAAGACATCGTATTAATATACTTCAGTAAATATATCATTACGGAGATATTTTTATGTGAATTATAAAATGTAGAATATGTATTTAATGTCCTTTTTAGAGTGTTATAAGAACTTTCTGTACCGTATACAAAAACGTAGCTAAAATCAGATGATTGACTTCGAAAAACAAGGTATATATTTGTTAAATATTTATCGAATTATAATCACACAAGGATTGTTGCAATATTTGATTGCTTGTCTAATATTTCATTTAACTTTATATAATTCTTTCTCAGATTTAAAATAAAGTTACATACTTTTTTATGCAAAAGGGGAAATGCAGATATATTCGGAATAATTCACGGTGACTGACAGCCAGGGACAAAGGAAATTAAATTTTCAATTTACAAGTTTAATTTTTTTAACGTCAGTAAAGGCCAAGTATCACAACTACCACAAACCTAATTTAAAGGTTATGATTACGTACAACCGTAATGTATCATTAAAATTTTTTGAACACTGGTATTATCATTAGAAAAGATTAATAGATAATAACCGAACAATATCGGTTACCGTTAACCGATATAAACAAACATAAATTTTATTACCGACTGTACTATTATCTCGTTACTTGTAACGGTTATTTACAATTTACAATAATTGATACATTTATTTTGAAAGTAGTGCAAGTCCACCTTAGACTGAAGTTATTTTTAGCTGAATATATTACGACTTTTAGTAATACGGAAAATTCTGTAAAAAATTAAAAATTGTATAATATTGGTGGCATAACCTCAATATGAGTATCTGTTGGTCTGGCTAGGTATCATCGCTAGTTTCCATTATCAACTTGCGAATAAATTTTAGTTCAGTTTCTAATAAATACTCGGCAAAGTCGTCACGGTTCTTTTGGTAACTTCAACTAAAATTGTAACTATGATGCATGTGACAGTGAAGTTGGTAGGTAATAATAAAAAATAAAAATACTTTTCTGGTTAATAATAGCACGCTAATAAAATCCTCATTTCCAAGTAATTTTGTTATTATTTTGTGAATATAAAGATAAAACCCATGAGAGTTGGAAATAAAAGAACAATCTTGTTATCAGGACAACATGTAAACACTTAAATATCTCGCAGTAACAAAGAATGGACTTGCCTTAATTTCAAAATAAACGCCTCAATTATTAATAATTAAAGACTAAAAATTAATATTTTTATTTGAAAATTTGTTTAATATTTGACGTTTTATTTTCATTTCAATAGGAGTGAATTTTTGCTGTGTGGTGTTCTGGATCTCCAATATGGATTTGTGGAAAACAATAGCAATTTAAAATAGCGCAACGAATAAATGGCAAGTTTTTTCATCGCTGTTACTTAAACTACGTTTGCTCGTAGCGCGATTAAACTCACGCTGTCGTGGCTTAATGTGTACCGGCTTGCAATTAACGATAATCCGATTAAGGCCAATTGGGCACGAACAGCTTGGTCGTCAATCGTGCCGGAATAAACCTGATTACCAAGAGCAGGATAAATACAGTCGCTTGTTAGAAACGCAAGTTTCCACCAAGCATCATGTGAACTTGTGCGTTTAATTTTAACAATATAAAGTTGTTGCGTTGTTGATTGTACAATATTTTGTCTTGCAATAAGTAAGTGAGACTTGCAGATCTTTATATAACAATCTTGAATTTTTAAAGCGTTTTCTTTTCATCGGCCTTAATTTTCAAAATATAACCTATATGATAGAGGTCTTGCATGACTTAAATATTGTTTATACATTCTTAAATGTTTATAATAGTAGCAAAATATACATCATTGTATTCGTTGAAGTCTGTAGAATCACTGTTAATGGAAATTGTACTTTTACTGTTCAGGCACAGAAAATTCTTCAAGTTAAAACTTCAATTCTTTTTTCAAAATTTTTCAGAAATAAATTACAGTGTTATGATTACAGTATTTACATTAGAATTTACAGAAATTTATTTAAATTTATTAGACAGTGCTTTTAACATTGTAAAAATACGGAAAAAAATTTATTTACCGTGTTGAGATATAACTTAGAACAATTGTTGGTAAATATTAAATTATAAATTATTTAATATAGCATACCGTCTCTTGATGAAACATGTAAACATTTTTATGAAACTATAGATATACCACAAGTGCTATTTTGCGGTAGCTATACTTCGTGTTAGAATCTTATTTCTACGTTTCGAAATCCGTCATACGATATGTAACAGCCCGATAGAATCACATACGACGTGTCAGCACAGTGGTCACTTCACTAATTTATTTAAATAAACGCGGACTCTTTTACATTTTGATAAATAAATTTTATGTCTTCGAAATCTGTAAAAAAATATCTGTAACTGATATAATCTATCTTCATAATCTGTGCAAGAATCTTCACAGTCTATAGAAAGGTGATTGCAATTTTTTTAAGATATTGTAATGTATTATATCTTCAAGATATCAAGAGCAAAGCTCAAAATAATTCACTCGATATTGCAAAACAAAATATATGTATGTACATCAGGGTGGTTCAAAAAATAATTTTCTTTTTGTTGTTACCTTTTTAGGTATGTTATGTAAAAAAATTCTCTCAAAATTCAAGTTGTAAAATTGAAATTTTGGAGGTTGCTCAAAGCAATTTTCTACTGGTATATTTTTTGTTGTATTTTTTTACAATTTAAGTGACTACATATGTTATGATAAAATTGAACAATTCAAAAATTTTCAAATTCCAAAACTTCTAAATTCCAAAATTTCCAAATTTCAAAACTTCCAAATTCCAAAATTTCCAAATTCCAAAACTTTCAAATTCCAAAATTTCCAATTTCCAAAACTTTCAAATTCCAAAATTTCCAATTTCCAAATTCCAAAATTTCCAAATTCCAAAACTTCCAAATTCCAAAATTTCCAAATTCCAAAACTTCCAAATTCCAAAATTTCCAAATTCCAAAACTTCCAAATTCCAAAACTTCCAAATTTCAAAACTTCCAAATTCTAAAACTTCCAAATTCCAAAACTTCCAAATTTCAAAACTTCCAAATTCCAAAATCCCAAAATTTCCAAATCCAAAACTTCCAAATTCCAAAATTACATGCTAATATTAAATTCCACAATTTAACTAACTAATAACTATTGATAAAAAAATTGTTTTAAATAAATAAAAACCTAGTGAAACAATTTCATTTTTAATTCTATTTTGTAAACTCTGTAATTGTTTTGAGCGACCTCTTCAGTTTAAATTATTCAACTAAAACTATAAGAGGATCTTTTTACACAATATACTAAGTTTTTAGAAAGTGAGAAAACAATTTGTTGACTCTCGAATGTATACATAGTGTGAAATATAAAATGAATGAAATTGTGGGTTATCAACTTCAGAACATTTGTATCAACATCAGCTGATAAGGCATGAGTAAGAATTAAGATTGTAAGTTGTACTTATCAGAATTGATTGTACCAAGATAAAACGTACTGTTTGGTAACAGAATTCAATGCTTCGGAAAAAGAAACACTTGTAATTTACGCGTTAGAGTGATGCAAACGTCGATTATTATACAATGAAGTACTCGTGCTTTAAGATAAGACAGTGATGAGAAAAAATATTAACAATTAAATTTAATATGGGAAAACTTTGATCAGTTTTACAAGGTCGTGATTATGGAACGTGTTATTTTTAAGGTTTAAACGTGTAGAAAGTGCTTGTTCAGCAGCTGATGAGGAAAGGATACAATTGCTTGTTCAGAATTCGACATGAGCGACATGTACAAGTGAAACCGAGGACTTATTTATTTACATCATGAATGTAAGATGATTTTACTAACTTTTGCATGATATTTCATTTAGCGTGTTTTATTATGCTGGTTTTTATGTTTCTATAATTTCAGGGGTTATAGTTCTTCAGTTTAAGAAACTGAAGATTCAAAACTCCCATGTTTGTAAATTTGTAGATTTGTGGATTTGTAGATTTGTAAATTATAGAATTTCTAAATTAACAAAATCTCGAATTCCCAATTCCTCGAATTTTTGAATTCCTAAATTTGTAAATTTCAAAACTCAAAAATTCAAAAATATAAAAATCCAAAAATTTCAAAAATTCCCAAAATTCAAAAAATCCCAAATTCCCAAATTCTCAAATTCCCAAAATTCCAAATTTGAAAATTCAAAAATTTCCAAATTCCAATTTCCACCACCAAATTCATACTCGTGCTTTAAGATAAGACAGTGATGAGAAAAAATATTAACAATTAAATTTAATATGGGAAAACTTTGATCAGTTTTACAAGGTCGTGATTATGGAACGTGTTATTTTTAAGGTTTAAACGTGTAGAAAGTGCTTGTTCAGCAGCTGATGAGGAAAGGATACAATTGCTTGTTCAGAATTCGACATGAGCGACATGTACAAGTGAAACCGAGGACTTATTTATTTACATCATGAATGTAAGATGATTTTACTAACTTTTGCATGATATTTCATTTAGCGTGTTTTATTATGCTGGTTTTTATGTTTCTATAATTTCAGGGGTTATAGTTCTTCAGTTTAAGAAACTGAAGATTCAAAACTCCCATGTTTGTAAATTTGTAGATTTGTGGATTTGTAGATTTGTAAATTATAGAATTTCTAAATTAACAAAATCTCGAATTCCCAATTCCTCGAATTTTTGAATTCCTAAATTTGTAAATTTCAAAACTCAAAAATTCAAAAATATAAAAATCCAAAAATTTCAAAAATTCCCAAAATTCAAAAAATCCCAAATTCCCAAATTCTCAAATTCCCAAAATTCCAAATTTGAAAATTCAAAAATTTCCAAATTCCAATTTCCACCACCAAATTCCAAAATTTCCAAATTTCCAAATTTCCAAATTCCAAAATTTCCAAAACTTCCAAATTTCAAAATTTTCAAATTCCAAAATCCCAAAATTTCGAAATTCCCAAATTCTCAACTCATTCCAAAACTTCCAAATTCCAAAATCCCAAAATTTCAAAATTCCCAAATTCTCAACTTTATAATTCCAAAATCCCAAAATTTAAGAAATACAAAATTCCCAAATTCTCAAGTTCCTAAATTCCAAATTCCCAAAATTCCAAATTCCAAATTCCAGAATTTTCAAATTTCAAAATTCCAAAATCCCAAAATCCTTAAAAATCAAAAATGCAAAATTTCCAAATTCCTAAAATCCCAACTTCAAAAATTCCAAACTCCCAAATTCCCAAATTTACAAAATTTCAGATTATTTCCTAATTCCCAAATTTCTAAATCCCCATCTCCCGAATTTCTGAAAACCGATATTTACAAATTTACAAATTTACAAACTGCCGCGATATTTTTCAAAATTTTTTATAGGATTTTTATTGCTCCCACCAGTTAAAATGACTTTTCTTTTCAGATGCCCACAGATATTAAAAATAGCAGTAAAGCCCCAGATAATTCTGTTAATCGTTCATAGAGATAGGATTGTGCAGCTAACCTAATTATATATTTAATCAGATTATATTTACAAAGATAAGATAAATGCATTACACGCTCGATTACTTGAAGAATAAGTAATTAACAAGAAGTGATTATATTACGTGGTTGTAGACTACACGAAATATGTACAAATTTTCGCAAAAAATTTTAGACTACTTTATACGAAAAATTATTATTATTAAGTAGTTTATAATATTTCATAAAGCAGTAGGTTATGGTTTTAGTAGCTCAATTCACACAGGTTATCTGGTTTCAGTAATAAATTAAGTGCAGTACAGAATATGACAGTTTAATTCGTTTTATCTACTTATAATTAATTTTGCATTTTATAAAACACAGCATGGTAAATTTTCTAGTATAATTAATTATAGCTTCTGTTTTGATAAAATCATTATAGAAGTTGATGTTATATAAACAGTGATCTGTTGTTTCCTGTGTCGATAATAGTTATTAATAGAATAGAATGCAATCCCACAAGTTGCATTATGGTTATGTCAGTAAATGTATAATTGAACTATTAAATCGACACTTTCAAAGAAGCGTTAGGATTTTTTGTATGTATGTTGAAATTACAGTAATAATGTATCTAAAAATTATATTTTTATATTTGAAGAATATTTAAAAAGATAATGACATATTAACTTATTTATTTTAAATTATTTATAATATAAACAAGTATATTATTAAAAAATATTATTGATGTAATATAATAATCAGAAAAATTACATTTATTATGTACAATAATTACTTTAAAATTGAATACATTGAAATTAATATGATAACAGTAATTTATCAATTTTAATTAATTAATATTATCAGCTTTTATTATATTACATAGCAAAATTATATAATTAGCTGCTTATATTAAATTTATATTTTTATATTAAAAAGTTTCTAAATTGTATGGAAAAAGTTTATAATTATGTGTATAGAATTTGATATAAACTGACATAAAACAGGTAATTATTTAATATTATAATACACATATAAATATCGACAATAATTTTAATTCTAAGCAGAGCAAAAATTGACAATAATATCAATCAACAACAATATTTTAATTCGAGTTTAGTTTAATTTGAAATTTTAATTATATCACTTAACAAATTCTCTTGCATTCAGAGCTTTAAAAATTGCATAAATTATAAATACTACATACACTGCTGGATATTTTCCAAATTATTTGAAAACTGAGAATAGAAAGAACAGAATTAACGCGGATTTCTGCAAATTTATAAATATGCAATAATGTGAGAAGACACTTGACATCAATTCACAGGTTACAACTTTGTACTTATATGCATGCATATACGTAAACACAACTGTTGCAACTGTAAGAATTGGTTGCTACAATATCTCTTTAAAGCAAGAAGTCACCTGTCATTAAAAAAAAATTCGCCACTTTTCACTTTAAGAACAATAATTTTTCTGCCTCCTGATCCATGGTCAGTACATTAAATATAAAACTAAACGTCATACTTTAAACAAGAACGAAAAAAAAAATTACAAAAGTTCTTGTCTTATAAAACGCGTCGTATAAATAGACGTAATATATCGTTAAGTTTGTTATTCTTTCAACACGAATTTTATCAAAACGTATAAAGCACAATATTGCGTTTTCGTGTAACTTTTAACCTCGATCGCTTGTTCGGTCGTTGATTCACTATAAAAGCCCCATCGAGACTGCAAAAGAAAGTCAGTCGAAATCCGCCGGTTATAGAGAACGCGTCGTCGAAAAAATGACAATTACAATCTGTAAGGAGTAGACGCCGTTAGAAACATCAGTCTGAAGATATCTCCATTTTTATTGTCCTTATCGTAACATAAAATTACCGTTACTCGCATAGGCGAACCAGGCGCGAGTGAAACAACTTCAGAGAAGACAGTTCGCGCCCTTCCATCACGCGAGCGTGTTGCCTGAACCGATGCGAAGTTACTTTGGGACATTTATAAACGTTCTCGGTAGTGGGAGAGGCTAATAACGTGACTTTTGCACAATAAAATGAAAAAAGAAAGTGGACAATTGAAGTGACATCATACGTGCAGTGACAGTGTTTCGTGAGTGATGTATGTGCGTTTTTATAGGGATGTGTTTGAGCATCGTCATCGTCGAGGTCAAATATAACGGCGTGGACAATGAACTTTGATAAATACAGCGAAGAAGACGACTGAATGTAGTGATTCGTGTTGAACGTTCGTTCTTACATGCAACGAATCGGAAGTGTCATGACAGAAACTGCCAAGGTATTGGTAAGTGTTGACACTTGTACTCATGTGTCTCGTTATCTGGACGAATTTTTGCACACGAAATCTCTTTGCTTCGGGGTCTGGCTAGGTTATGTTATTTAGCACGAGGACGCGGAAAGCAAAAAACTGATCGAGCGCGCCTGCGCACGTGCAACCCGCTTTGCACGGATGCGCGCGCGTTTGATATTCTTGGCGCAAATAGATTTTTTTCTTTTCGGGTTTGTTTTATTTCCATGTTCAATTTTACGCTTTTATTGTAACGGTATTGTTTATTCATTTATTCAAGCCCTATAACGGTATTGGAAATTAAGGAATTCGAGAATTTGATTACTTGACTCTCTAGGGATTTGAAAATTTGTTATTTAGAGTGTTGTGATTTTTAACTTTAAAGATTGTGGTATTTAGGGATTTAAGTGTTTGCAGATTTGAAAGTTTAAAATTTGAGAATTCGGCATTTGAGGGTTTTATGATATACAATATTTATACGTTAAATTTTAATGCAATCACCTTAGTGTTTATGATTATTATTGTTATGAATGTGAAAATAATTTGAGTCTTCAATACTGTTCATTTTATATCAAGTAAAGTACATCTAATACTTTCATAGTGTGGAATTTCTAAGAAATTCAGTATTAAGGATTTAGAAGGGTGAATTAGTGACATCTAGCGTAGAAAATAGGAAGTTTACAACATAATTGCAATTCTGTGTCATTCTTACAGGGAAACAACAAGCAGCGATTTTCCGTTAATTCAAAAAATATTTTCTTGTAACTCTATCGATAACATCGTCTTTTTATCTTATCATGTCAGTTTCTAAATGTACTTCCTCAAACAGAAGTTTGCTGTCAGTCAACAAAACATTTTTATACGCATTTTAAGTTTATTGTTAATCATTGATAAAATCACACAATTGTTATAAAAAATTTAAATAAAGTTATAACATAAAAATGCTACACGCTGTTTTGATTAACAAATAACCTCTTTTCCTATCTTTTTTAAATTTTTGACAGGAAAAATCTACATTAAAACGACCTTTTATGAAAACGATTGTTAAAATCTTTAACAGTAAAATTTCAATTATATAAATTCTCCATTACCATTACAATTGAATTATTAATTTTAATTGATACAATTTTGAATCATGAAACAAGTCAGTAAAAAAATGAAAGTGATAGAAAATGGAATAAAAACGCGATTCTTATTAACTTAATGAATATTTGCTTAAGAATCGACCTTATATTCTATATGGTTCCCTAATAAAAATTCGTGAAAATAAAATATTTATCATATGTGATACTGTATATGACAGTATATGTATATGTACTTATGTCTGACAGTATGTTTACACTGTATATAACATTAATAGCGGACAATTTAAATATTACTCTTTTAGACTATATTCATTATCTGTTTCCAATACTTATATTTATTTTGTTAGATCGACGGTGAAAAAGAGGCGACGGATGTCAACAATTCGGTATCATATGTGGTCTCATCTGAAGATAAGTATCACGGAAATAGGAGGACACAATGGCGACAATGGCTGGCGTGTATTTCTGGTTAGTCTTCTTCCTTTTATTATTTTTAAACAATACTATTTATACATAACATTTTAATGGACTTTTCATGGTCATTAATTCTTCTATTTTATTTATTTTTTTTTTTTTTATTATATAAAATGAAACTCAAATTAGAAATTAAAAAATTTATACAGTCGGTGTGGATGATGTTACATGAATTTGACTTGACTTTTTCAAGGATAATACATCTACTCAAGGACACATACATGTATTTAAATATACATGTGAATTTAAATTTAGCATTCAATGGTCATACATGTGGATGTTATCATCTTTTTTGTTTCATTAATTCCTTTGTAGTTTTCTAATATTTAATTTCTATCTATGTAAAATCAGTGAAACAATTGTATACAACGTTAATTTATTTTTAATCGTAAAATAATCGTTCCTGAAGATACAATTGTCACAGTAACAATTATTCAAAATACCAGCCAATTTTTCCAATATATAATATACTTAAGATCCCACATAAAAAGTCATATCCCAACCATATAAAAAGCCCATTAATTCATGTTCCAGCAACTCTATCCATGGTGGCTGTGGGGACAGTCTACGGCTGGACAACAACATCCCTATTTCGCCTAACTTCTGGCGACAGCAGCATGCCCTTCAATTTAACAGATGACGAAGGTTCCTGGATCGTCTCCCTAACCGTAATCGGCTCCATGATCGGTCCATTCTTGGGAGCCAGCTTATCCGACAAATTCGGTCGTAAACGCTGCCTCATGATATCCAGTGGCTTCTACATCGTCGGTTGGTTGATTGTATTATTCGCGAAGTCCGTGGAAGCTCTATACATATCTCGAGTGATCCTCGGCGTGGGAGTTGGAATCTCCTACACCACAAACCCCATGTACGTCTCGGAAGTGGCGGACACCAACATCAGAGGCGCCCTGGGGACCCTAATCGCGGTGAACGTCTTCACAGGGTCTTTGCTAGCCTGCAGCATAGGTCCATGGGTATCCTTGGAGATCCTGACCGCCATTTTACTCGCCATACCGGTTCTCTTCATCGCCTGTTTCATGTGGTTCCCCGAGAGTCCACATTTCCTGGCAGCTAAAGGCCGCAAATCGGAAGCCTGCAAGTCTCTGGCGTTCTTCAAAGGCATCCTCGACCCTGAGGAAGCTAAAAAGGAACTGAATCTCATTCTCCGTGGTATGAAAGAAGATTCCTACAAGGCTGCGCCTGGACAGAGTATGGAAATGCTCAAACACACCTGGACCGTCAAGCTGAAGATGCTGCTGCTGCCCAACAACGCCAAGTCCTTGAGCATAGTCGTTGGTCTGGTCGCTGCGCAGCAACTCAGCGGGAATTTCAGCACCATGCAGTACCTGGAAGTGCTGTTCAAAAAAGCATCAGTTGGAATTGACTCGAATTTGGCTACCATATTGGTCTTGGCTGTGGGCCTCGTGTCTGGAGCCCTGGCTACAGCTACCGTAGAGGGTGCTGGGAGACGACCGCTTCTGATGATCTCCACGTTTGGCTCATTCGTCACTCTGGCCATCTTGGCTGTGTATCTCATGTTAGATGCAAAAGAAATGGACGTTTCCAGCGTGAACCTTCTTCCAGTGATCGATGTCATCATCTTTCAGGTGGCTTTTCAAATCGGTTTAGGAACCTTGACCAATGCTCTGATCGGGGAACTGTTTCCTACCGAAGTGAAGGGCGTTGCTGGCGCCATTGTTACTATTTTTGATGGCCTACTCGGCTTCGCCGTTTCCAAATTGTATCAGGTGATCGGCGACAGCCTGGGATCGTACACGGTTTATTACTTCTTCTCGGTGTCCTGCTTGATGGCGTTCTTCATGGTGGCGGTGTTTGTACCGGAAACGAAGGGGAGAACTTATAATGAGATACAGGCACTTCTCAGTGGAAGGAAACTGAATTCGGCCAGCAGAAGCGATGAGAACAATTATGTATGACAGGAGGAAATGCACCGTGTGTGTGGAACACGGTGCTGGCTTTTATCTTCGGTTGACTGTACTGTAAATTTTAACTTAATTGCAAAGATCTCCGTTGAAACACTTAATGTTCGGGTGTACATTGTTATCGTCTATTTAAGTAACAGAGGCAACGATCACTTATTCGTGTTTTATGACTTATTTTGTAGAACGTTCAGAAAAATAAGTATTACCGTTTTTGAAAGCATATAATCAAATTTATTTACCTTTCTCATTCCTTATTCTATTGAAGTCCCTTGTTTCTGTTTGAGAGTATATTTCCATTGTTTATAACTCACAAATATATTATATTTAAGAGAAGTATATAAAGAAGGAACACATATTGTAGAAAAGAATTTCCAAAGATTTTTATATCTTCCTTTGAAAAGTGTAATTACCAATTTTTTAAAATAGCCTGTGGTTAATAATACAAATGTAGTATAATATAGTAGTATAAACGTAACTGTTTATTTTTTATAAGATGAAAAATTGTCAAGGTATTTATACTTCAAAACTATTTACAAATTATTACAATTATAAGTTTTGTTAAGTAGGAAATTATACAATAATTTACAACCTAATCTAGAATGCTATTTTAAAGGCTCAGTTTTATTTTGATTTTATACTTTACATATTGTATCATAGTACAACACTTTCACTTGTTTATTTCTATTCAAAGTAAACTATTAATTATAATAACTTTTTAACATCAAATAATACCACAACTTTGAAACAACTTTTAGTCCTAAATTAAACTAGCCCTAACTTTCAGTCCTTAACTAAATAGGCAATTGTCATTTTTGTTCCAAATTCATTACAAAAAAATAAACAGTTTTAAAACAACTTTTAGTCCTAAACTAAACTAGTCCTAACTTAACTTTCACTCCTTAACTAAATAAACAGACAATTATCATTTTTGTTCCCAATTCATTACAAAAAACTAAACAGTTACCTTGTGCAATATAATTAATATAAAACTAATAAATAGGCATAGATCTAATACGAATATTTTTATAACTATCATTTCTTAATCGCTACTAATTTCCTTCAAAAACAGGAAAAACAATGCTTTAGATGCGGTTGTGGTTCACACGGTATTATCCACAATTACTAACAGTTTTAAATGTATGCGTAGGATTTTGCGGTTGAAGAAGAAATCATATCCTGTCAAGTGCTTATATAAAGCGCGCGTCGATCATAATTTTCAACAGAACGCTATTTAGCGTTCTAATCCAGAAGTATTTCTTTACTTTGTATAAACTCGTAATTCATTGTATTACACAACATCTGTTGTTCGTCGATTCACGATCTTCTTTGGTTTCGTTTATTTTTTTGTCCATCGTTCAATTTAATTAATCAATTATGACGAACGACAAATCTAGTATGCTGTATCTCTTCGATCGGCCATCTGAACCAGTCTATGTACCTAAGGGAGAACAGAAGGTTGCCTTTGATATACCACCTGACTATTTGGTAAGTATGACTTTTAATTTAAAAAGTTTATGTTCAAAAAATTTGTTTAAATTTTAATGTTTAAAAAAATGTTAATGTTTATTTTAATATTTTAAAAATGAATGTTCATTTAATACGTACCATAGAAATTTTTCACTGAATCTAAAAGCACCACGTTTTTCAAAGTTTTAATATTTAAATTTTTCAAGATTTTTTAAGTCCAAAAATCCGAAGTCCTGAAGTACCAATGTCCCGAAAATGAAATTCTCAACTTCAAACTTCTAAAACTTCAAGTCCCAAAATTCCAAGCTCCCGTACTCCTAAGGCGCCAAAATTCAAACCGTGAAATTACATAATTTCAATATTGTATAAATTGAATAGAGTAAAATTAGACAAACAATTTTAATATTATATAAATTATATTAAGTGAAATTATGCAAAAATAAATACTATTACTAATAAGATTTATTTATATTTATTTAGCCTGACAAGTACCGTTCCGTTGCTACACAAGTGTTCAACCGTTTCGGGGATGATACGCAGTCGAAAATCCCGGTGAAGCAAATTACACTTCCGGATCTCAGCATTCCGATGCAACTCGGACGTCGTCAACCTTTTTCGCTTTTTATACCGGCACATCGTAGAGTGGCTGCTCGTCTTATCGACATTTTCATGGGTTAGTATTTTCTTTTCGCTGTATAACCACCTTGATTACTTATTTATTTTCATATTCACAGGCATGAGAACGTACGAAGATTTCTTGTCAGTCGCAGTTTATTGTCGTGATCGTCTGAATCCGAATATGTTTATCTATGCACTGTCAGTGGCCATGCTTCATCGTCCTGACACGAAAGATTTACCGATACCGCCATTGACTGAAGTGTTTCCGGATAAATATATGGACAGTGGCATTTTCGCTAGGGCTAGGGAAGAAGCTAATCTCGTTCCTTCTGGTTCAAGGGTGTGTAACTCGTTTTGGAACAAATTAATTAAATAGTTGTAACTTTTGTTCATTCGATAGAATTATTGTACGGTAAAATGTTTTTGCAATTTGAAGGTTCCGATCGAAATCCCTCGGGATTACACCGCTTCGGATCTCGATGAAGAACATCGCGTTGCGTACTGGAGAGAAGACATTGGAATCAATCTTCATCACTGGCATTGGCATTTGGTTTATCCGTTTGAAGGAGATGTTAAAATTGTTAGGAAAGACCGACGTGGAGAATTGTTTTATTATATGCATCAACAGATGATGGCTAGGTAAACAATGCAATATAAACAATTATTTACTTATTAACTTGTAAATTAGTTGAAGAATCTGTGGGAGACTGTTGCCACCAAAATTTGTACTTAGAGCCTTTACAGTTGTAGCTGATGTCAAGATGTTATGGTAAATTATATCAGTGGTTATAATGTATTATAACAAATGACATTATGACAAAATTATTTAGTTTTTGAAATATTCATATTATCACAACACATATGCACTTATTAAAATGTTCACATTATTATTAAACTAAAGAGAATACTCTTACTTCAATTATTTCTTCATTTTGTATTACTTGTCTTGATTTTGTATTTATATCAGATGTTAAAGATTTAATGAAGATTTAAATCAGAAGGAATTGATTTTATTTTACAGTTACAAAGCACTTATTATGCTAACAATAAGTATATCTCTTAATCCTTAATTACCATAACTCAGAAAATAATACACATAACATATTCTCTACTTTTTTAAGTACCACTTAAAAAAGTAGTACTTAAGTATCACTTTTATACATTTGTTAAATGAGGCCTTGCATTAACTCTCATATGGTTGAATTATTTATGTAACGCAGATGCATAATCAGAATCCATTGCAGTGTATAAATATTAACACATTATTTTGATAAAGGCTAACTATGGTTTACTTATATTATAAAAAGTTGTTTATTACATTATATATATAATTAAATGAATGGGAGTTAGGTGTGCAAGTCCATTGAATTTACCTTGATGATTAAAGAATAATAAATAATTTTATAGATAACATACCATTATCTAATTTCCAATGAAGCTTTAACTGTAATAAGATAAATCTAATCCTGCCATATTTAAGTTAATTTCATAACACTTTAAAAATCTTAGATGTTAAAGATTAACAATTATTAAAACATCTTCAGATACAATTGTGAACGCCTGTGCAACCAACTTGGACGAGTAAAGAGATTCATCAATTGGCGCGAACCTATTCCTGAAGGATATTTCCCGAAACTGGATTCCCTAGTTGCTAGTCGCACATGGCCATCTCGACCAAGCGGTGCGGTTCTCAAGGACATCAATCGACAGGTGGATGAATTGGACTTCGACATCCAAGATATGGAAAGATGGCGTGATCGAATCTACGAGGCGATCCACACGGGATCTGTAATTAACTCGACAGGCGAAAGAATACCATTGACAGAGAAAACTGGAATTGATGTGCTTGGAAATATAATGGAAGCTAGTATACTGTCGCCTAATCAAAACGTCTATGGGGATCTTCATAACTTTGGTCACGTTGCTATATCATATTGTCATGATCCAGATCACCGTTATCTAGTAAGCACGAGACTATTAAAAAGATTCTCTCAAGATTACATTTATAATATGCATTATACTTAAGAATAATTTATAATATTGTCAAGAAACATAACTGCATTTGTGGATACAAATTTTAGAATTTCATTAGCCAGTATTTGAATAAAAGATTGAATAATTGATTCTATTCTTTTCTCAGGAAAGTTTCGGTATTATGGGCGATTCGGCGACTGCCATGAGGGATCCTGTGTTTTACAGATGGCACGCTTTTGTTGACGACGTTTTCCAGGAACACAAAAACACGTTACCCGTGTACACCGCACAACAGGTAAACTTTGGAAGTTTGGAAGTATATGAAGATTTGGAAATTTTCAAAATTCAAACAGTCTGATTGTAATCACTTTATTATCAAGTTGCATGAGAAACTTTGAAAAGTTCGTTTTGTTAATGAAGTTGTTGCAAATGGCTCTAATCTTATAGCTAAATGCTATACACAGCTTTTGGAACGGGTTATGTAATACTTAATCGCTATTTACAGTTGGATTTCCCAGGTGTTGAAATAGCAGACATCCAATTAGCAACTAATCAACAACGCAACGTTCTAAACACCTTCTGGACCAAGAGTGACGTAGATTTATCGCGTGGACTTGATTTTACTCCACGTGGTCCTGTACTGGCTAGATTCACTCACTTAAATCACGCAGACTTTACATACAGGATTGTCGTTAATAATCGTGACGGTGTACCAAAAAGAGGCACCGTCCGCATTTTCATCGCTCCCAAGAAAGATGAACGTGGATTGCCTTTTACGTTCAGACAACAGAAAAATTTAATGATCGAACTGGACAAATTCCCTGTAATCCGTAAGTATTTACCTAATAAGAAAATTGATAAATTTTTAAGTTATTGAACCTTCAAATCCCTAAATTCATGATTAATACATACTGCAGTATAATAATAATATCTTAACTTGCAGTGAAACCTGGACAAAATACGATTAATCGTCAATCAACGGAATCCTCGGTAACTATACCCTTCGAAAGAACTTTCCGCAATTTGGACGAAAATAGACCTAGTTCAGAGGGTGCATTAGAACCATTCAATTTCTGTGGATGTGGATGGCCACAACACATGTTGGTACCCAAAGGAAGCAAAGAAGGCTTCCAAATGGAACTGTTTGTTATGGTGTCTGATTACACTGGTGATGCTGTAAGTACAGTTTACTTCAATTAAAGTATTCCTCCACTTCTTTCCTTAAAATATTTCTTCACTATTTCACTTCAAATATTTCTCCACTTTTTTTCTTATATATTTCTCCACTCTTAAAATGCTCATCTGATTAGATGATATATCAAAATAAGAAAATTAAATAATAGTGAATCATTCACTTCTGTATATTCTAAACATAATCAAACCGATTTATTTTAAATGTTAATAGGTGGAGCAAGATGAAGCGAGTGGTTGCAAGGATGCTGTGAGCTACTGTGGATTAAGGGATAAAAAGTATCCCGATGCACGAGCTATGGGATATCCATTTGACCGACAACCGCGTGCAGGTGTTGAAAACTTGGCCCAATTTTTAACCGGAAACATGGCAGTCACGGAAATAACCGTTCGGTTTTCAGACACTGTTGTACCTAGAACTAGATCTAGGAGCACAGGAAACACCTTAACCTTTGATTAAGTGTTTTATTATTCTTTTATGGATTGTTAGATAAACGACGGCATAATATTATATTTATATTATAATGTTACATATTCATCTGACTAAAAGTTGAATTCGTACATTCAAATGTAACTTTGCCCACGATAGAAGTATCTATGTACACAGAATGAAGTTAATAGTACCGGAAGAGTATAAAATATGACGCGATAATAGAAAGTAGAAGCAGATGAACAAAGGCAATCATTCTTTTTTATTTTATTCATTATTTAAGTCAACGACTTTTGTTATATTTAATTAATTATTTAAAGATTTCTCTCAACATAATTTTTTTAATACTGAAATATGAACTTCTTTATGAGTAATAATTAAAATAGTATTTATTTCATTCTTCAAGTATGCAATATGTTAAGAGTATTTCCACATAAAGTTACTTCGAAAATTATTTAAAAATTGAAATCATGACTACACTCATTACGAAATAACTGAACATAGTTTTTTCTTATTTATTATCTGCAATAGGCTGTAAGTGAATAGTTTACAATCAATAATTTTCAATTTTACTATTACTTTCTAATTTTTTCTTATGCTTTATATTATAGGAATAAGATTATAACAATTATATGCATATGTAAAATACAAAAAAAAATATATTATTAAAGGAAAACTGGTGTGATTATACTTTACATTGAACCATTATAAAATAACAACTCTATTATTATTTAATAATATTAATAATTCCAAGTCGTTTTTCTTAAATAATAAATTCATTTAGTGTTTTAAAAGTTATTGTGCTTTTGTGTTATTTCAAATATAATAATCTCCTATATTCCATCATATTATTCCCATTATATTATATTATATAATTCACGATATATACATATATGTATATTAATAAATAATCATTTTGCAACATATCTGCAAGATTAAGTTAAAAAAAATTAATAAATTTAAATAATTACAACAATAAATTTGTTA